CATGCCAGCCAGCCCCGCCCCCTGGTGGGCTGAGCTGGCCACGCGCGCACACACACACACACACACACACACACACACAAATAAATAAATAAATAAATTTAAAAAAAAAAAGAGCAGGAGCGTGCAGCTCCTGGGGTAGCGCTCTCTGCAGCCTGCGCGCTGGCACTTGAGGACAGACCGTGCAGCAGGAAGATGTTGGGGTGCTGGCGTGCGCAGAGGAGGGTCACAAGGTCACGCAGCCTGCGGTAGTTAGTGTCCTCGTGAACCCCTGTCTGCACAACTACAACAGCAGCAGCAACAAACCCATGAGGAATGTATTTATTATGTACTGCCAACAAGTAAAAGTTTAACAGTGCAGTGGAGACAGCTCAGCAGCACAGAGCCTACCTGACAAACATAAGATCCTGAGTTCAATTCCCTGTTCCCTGTACCAAATGAGTTAATTAGTACTGGGGTTCAGGGTGCAGGCTCTGAGTTTAATTGGCAGAGCAGGACAGGGGCAGACACACACAGAGAAAGCAAAAGAGAGACACAGACACAGACAGAGAGAGACAGAGAAACAAAGACAGACACAGAGGGGGCGATCCGTCCTTCCTGGACAGCTTGCAGGCACAGTCAGAAATCGTCCTGGGGGAAATGCTGAGGCTGAGGCGTGGGCTCTCCCCACCAGCCCTGCTCTGGCCCTGTAGCTCACACCCACAGATGTGTGATTGCTGGATTTCACGGTCATTGACTCCATTCCTGGGGCTCAGCCACGACCTCCCCTGGTGCCCACCAACAGCATGCAGAGTTTCCAGGTTCTCCATCTTGTGGCCAATATATGTTTAGTTTCTGTGTTTTTACATTTTAGGAAAGAGTCTACAGGGTGTTCAGGGTCTCATTCCTGGATCAGACTCGTAGTGGTTCGCTGTTTCACAGCCTCCCAAGAGCTGGGATTACAGGTGTGCACCACCATCGAATCCCAGCCCCTGCGCCTACTTGCAGGCGCTGTAATCTGCTGAGCTATTTGGCCATCCGGTTTCTGTTTTCTGAAACGGTCTCAGTTTACCTATGGAAGCTGGGCTGGCCTTGAAGTCCTGGCAGTGCTCCTGCCTCAGCCTCCTGTGTGCTAGGATCAGAGGTGTCTCAGGGCCACCTGCTGCCCTCCCTGGAGGCATCATAAATTGGTTCTCCAGTGCCATTAAGTAAGATAAGGGTCGGGGCTGGTGAGATGGCTCAGTGGTCTAAAGCACCTACTTAGAACAAGCTCAGCAAAGCACAGGGACCGCGGTTCAATCCCCCAGCACCACATGCCAGCCAGCCCGCCCCCTGGTGGGCTGAGCTGGCCACACACACACACACACACACACACACACACACACACACATATAAATAAATAAAATTTTTTAAAAATACATTAAAAAAGATAAGGGTCATGTGTACTGTCAAGGCCACTGTGATATGACAGCCACCTGGGAACTATAAGGCTGTGAGTGATCGACACAGGGTGGGGTCATTTCTGCCTCCGTGGGGCCACATGAGATTCCTTCCTGCTGCTCAGACAAAGCACCATCTAGAACGTGTGGTTCTTAGCCCTGCGTCATGGTGCATGCCTGTTACTCTGGGTCTCAGGAGGTGAGGCAAGATGGTGGATGGGAGTTTGAGCCCAGCCTAGGATACATGTGAGACCCTGCCTCAAAAAAACAAAATCACCACCATCACCACCCTCATTATTGTAATACTGCAAAAAAGAAGCCAAGATCTTGCTCCCAGGACTTAGGATTTAACCACGTTTGATGTTAGAAGCATTTTTGGAGCTGGAGAGATAGCTCAGTAGAATAAGTGCTTGCCTGGCAAGGGCAGGGTCCTGAGTTCAATCCCCGGTACCACAAAAACAACAACAACAAAAAAACTAAAGGTCAAAAAAAGAAGCAACTTTGCCTGTGTGCATGGGCTGATGTCCCCAAATTTCCTTCCAGGGACTCCACCTGGCAGCCTGTCCTCATCTGAGAGCCAGCCAGCCTGCCTTCCAGAAGTCTCTCCTGGCGCCCCAAGACCAGGTGATCCTTGCGGTGCCCATTAGGGGCTGTGGCCCACTGTGAAGCAGGAAGGGTGTTTGTTTGTTCCTTTGTGGTTTGATTTTTTTTTAATCAGAGTCTTGCTATGTAACCCAGCCTGGTCTTGAGCTAATGGTGATCTTCCAGCCTCAGCCTCTCACCCAGACAGAAAGGGCATTATTTACTATTGGCATGGAACAACAATGTTTTGGGGGGCTAGGGAGATGGCGCAGTGGAATAAGCGCTTCCTGTGCAAGCGCAAGGGCCTGAGTTCAATCCCTGGTTCTGCAAAAAAAAAAAATCTTTTTCTGGGGGGCTGGGGAGATGGCTCAGTGGAATAAGCGCTTCCCTGGCAAGCACAAGGGCCTAAATTCAATCCCTGGTTCTGCAAAAAAGAAAAAAAAAAAGTATCTTTTTTGAGAGGGCCAGCCAGATAACTCAGCACAATAAAGTGCCTGCTTAGGCAGAGCACAGCGGCCAGGGTTCGCTCCCCGGCCTGTCATGATGGCCTGGCACCCGGGGCACGCTGGGACTGCTACTGAGGCTGGGCATGGTGGCACATGCCTGTAATCCCAGCGCTTGGGAGGCTGAAAACAGGAGAATCACTGAGTCCGATCTACATAGTGAGACCCTGTACTAAATACCACAAAAAAAAAAGCATCTTTTTTGGGATATTGTTTAGGATCCAAAATAGGCATACAACATGGTGCTGGGCCCAATTATTTTGTATTCTTATTAGTATTATTATTTATTATTATTATTTCTTTTTTTGGGACAGGGTCTCACTATGTAGTTCTGCCTAGTTTGTTAACTCACTATGTAGCCATGCTGGCCTCGAACTCGTGGTGAGCTCCCTGCCTCTGCCTTCCCAGTGCTTCCACGACCGTGTACACCACACAGGGCTGTAATACATTAAAAATAATAATAATAGGGGGGCTGGAGAGATGGCTCAGTGGTCTAAAGCACCTACTTAGAACAAGCTTGGCAAAGCATTGGGGACCGCGGTTCAATCCCCAGCACCACATGCCAGCCAGCCCGCCCCCCCCCTGGTGGGCTGAGCTGGCCACACACC